CCCGCCCCGCCGGGGAGGGGAGGAGAGGGCAGGGAAGGCCCGGCCCAGCCCGCCGCGGAGGGGAGGAGAGGGGAGGGCAGGGAAGGCCCGGCCCGCCGCGGAGGGGAGGGCCCGGCCCCACCCAGGCGGCCCCCGGCAGAGAGGGAAGGGGAAACCTCCCAAAGCATCCGCGTTGCAGCCTCTCTAGCACCCAAACCAGGTCTTTCTGCCTAAAACAGGTCCGCCCGGGAGAGCAGGACTTCCAGACCCAGAGACGGTGGTTTCACGCTTAAAATCGCCAGGGATACCCCTGCTCCCCCAGCAGCACCACCACATTATCGTTCGCAGCAGCACAACAGCCTGGATTAATTTGACAGTAATTTCAGGAAGGGAAGTATTCCTTCCTTATTGATGCTAAAGGAAAGCTCCCAAGTGTTTTAAATTCCTTTGAAAACCTCCCATCTTTACGTGGGCTATATTACGGTGTAAAATAAAATCTCAAAACTTCCAAAAAAATGTAGCTGATCAATGTCAAACTGTTGCATTGATAAAGGTTTTGCACTTAGAGTAATATAAAAAACACCAAAAGTTTTTTTAAAAATTGCTTTTAGAGTATTGTCCCTGTCTGCTACTGACATTACTGTGAAGACGGGAGAGCAAGTAGCATTGGCATAAAAAAGATGCCAGGCTCAAAAGACAATTCCTGTTTGGTTTTTGCCAATGTTGTTACTCATTTTAATTGGACTTTTCCTTATTTTGCATTTCAAAATAAGAGAAACTGAGCTATATCTGAATATCATGTAGGAGTGTTTTACAGTCCATTAAACAACTTCGGTTTAAATTGCCCTTTAACTCTACTATTTATTTGCACTTCAAGTATAGTTCTCCTCATGAGACAATTTGCCATAACCTCCAGAAACATTAAATCTAAATGAAAAAGATAGCACAATACAGAAAGCTTCCGGAGTGAAATATGGGAGGGATCCTTTGGACCCAACACTTTTCCCAAAAGGAAAGGACTTAATCCGAATTGTTTCTATCCTCTTTTCCTAAGAGGAGCAGAGGAACATCAGCTACACTTATACAGTATACTACAGATCTGTTAAGCTATACGCCTTGTCACCACACTGAGCAGAATGATGTAGTCCACTAAAATTAAAATGGGATTTTGAGAAAATTTCACAGACCGAGTAGACCAATTACAAGTAAGTCCGATCAGAGTGTGCTCAACAAAGAACCAAAGATTTCTTCCTTAATTCCACTTTAAGTTTTTATCCAATAATCGGGTAAACTACAGTGACATTTGTGTGGTACTGAGCCACCTAGTGGTTACTTTCAAAAAAATTAAAGGGCTCTTATTTTCAGAAGTAGAAATCAACAGGTTGGATGTAGGAAGAATTCAGATAACATAGATGATACAATGGTATAAAAGAATACATCTGCACCAATTCCAGTTTGCTCTGTATCCTGAACACAAAACTGGACATCTTCCAAAGACAACAATCCTCACTTATAGATGTCCTGCCATGTATCAGATGTCCTGAGGTTTTATCAGCAAGTCTTCTCATGACTTTAAAGCCGCTAAGGTTGAAAATTGGAACAATCAATCTTTTTCCTAAATTGTCAGTCATACTTATGGAACAAGAGTTTTATTCTAAGGGGGGCACAGAAGATAGGGCAAGCAACAGAAAAGGAGAGAGACTGAAGAATACATTTATCACTATCATAGAAATGTGGTTTGCAAATCAGTAGACCTGCCATGTATCACCAAGTCCATTTCCTGCTTTTCCACAAAACCACAACATAGCCATAATAAACTGTAACTCAAAACTAGTTTAATTTCTTGGTTGAAACGCCTATGGAAGCGTAAGCTGGGACCCAGCACTTTGCATTTGTAATTACAGGATTTTACAACAAAATAAAACCCAAGAAACTGAGCTCTTGAAATCTAGTGCTTTTATTGAAGTTTTATAGTGACATACAAAATACAGTGTATTATCTTATCAAGATGCTTATAAAAATTGAGACACTACAGAAAGTGCATAAAAAATATCAAAACAAATTTGCATTGAAGATACAGGCTCCAAGGGAATCCTGTCCAACTACTTCGAAAAGGAACTCCTTATCAGTCTTCTCAGTAGTCTGTCTTCCTATGTGCAACTGCTCATTGTCCTTTTTTTTTTTTTTTAAATAGCCAGAGAACTGTTACATAGGAACAGAAATTTAGCAACCTACAAAGTCCCTGCTGGATTAAAGCACAACTATGTCGTAGTTTTCACAGAAGTCCATGAAAAGGTAGTTCTTTGAGGAGCCATCCTATTTGAGGAAAATTATTTGTTAGGTTAAGGATAAGCCAAAGTCCAATTCAGCAGTATTGCAGATGCCGTCAGAATACACTTCTTTCTGCAGTTCTCCCCATTTCAATATTTGCTCTGCCAACTCCTCCAACTCCGTCACGAGCATCTCTGTTTTTGTCAAAGCAATGTCCTGAAGCAGAAAAGAGTTGGATTTCATCTCTGTACATCCTGCCAATCTAACAGGACACCAGAACAAGCTAAACAACCAAACGGCTTGAATTCTTAATGCTGGAGGAGACAGAAGGCTCAGTTCTTTTGCTACTCACCATGTTCTTCATGATGTTCGGTATCTGAGGGATGCTTCTAATGGTCTGCAAATGCTTTTCAAGCTTCTCAATGAAAGTCACAGCCTCAGTCAACAACTTGACTACATACCTGTAACCAAGAACGAGCCCTCTACTCAAAAGCTGTGCAAAACAATACTTCCAAGCTCTTATTTCTTTCCCCTGTGGGTTTTCTTAGTCCTCTTCTCCAGTTCTATCCAAGTTCCTAAACATCTAATCAATTTCTCAGCAATTACACTTCTGACTTTCAGCAACAAGTAGGGCAGGAATTACAGAAGTGAATACGCACTTCTTCAGTAAATGGACTAGAATTTTTAGACTGCAAGGAGAAGGACTGTACTTTTAAAACATGTACTACGAATGTTTGGGAACCATTCACACACTTATTCTGAGCAAGTCACAGTGGAAGGAAGACACCAAACACTAAAGTAACAATTGCTACCTATGGAGAAGCATAACGAATTGAGCATTTAACACATCTGTTTAAAGCAATACATCACAAACTGTTGTGTAATCTTTAAGAGACCAATAACCCAAGCAAATATTCATAAAAATATGTATCACTGCCTTTCCATGAATTTAGCAATGTGTAAACTACAAGCTTTTAACTGAGGCTCAGCTACCATTTTTTATTTCTATTCTTATCAATAGAAAGTTGAATGAAAATATGTGATTTTTACTGCCTATTAGTTCAGACTAATTTGGACTCAAGCAAACAAAGAACAATTATTTTCTGTATGCTTACTTGTGGAAAGTGGCCTCAATAGGCAGGGTCTCTTGACATCTGGGCTTCACCAATCTCTTTCTAAGAGCCCTCTTCTCCTTCAGTACGGCTTCCAAGTGTCTGTTCATATCTTGCAAAATCTCGCATTTTTTGCCTATAAAATAAAACTGCCAAGTTGAACCTACTGTCCCACTAAAACAAGAGCAAAATTTCTTCTGGAAAAAGAGAGGAAGAAAAAAATCTGGTCTATTGCACTGGACAGTTTACACTCAAGAAAGACAGCATTAATCAGTCACTTTTGTTGGAGGACACAGGACTTAATATCAGCATGCACCTCAAAGTCATAATACCTACTTTTTAGAGATACAGCTTTGTTAATTGTTTTACATTATCTATAGTTTTAAGTAAACTGTCCTTGAGATGAAACTGGCTTCTTGAAATATACCATAGCACTGAAATATTACAATGTACTTCACCAGCCTAACACAGTAGTAGCAAGCTAGAATGTTTTCAAGCACCCATCAAACCCTAGTGGGAAAAGTGTGAAATAATAAAGAAATGGATACCTACTCTCCCAAAATACTAAAATAAAAATCCAAGTAATTTTAGGGGTACATGGAAGCAGCAGAAATACATTGAGTTACTGGAAAAACAGCAAAGTAGCACACAGGCCAAGGGAACCAAATCAGGTTACTGATGATCTCGGAACTCCTGATGCTCCACTGACCCTGGGAAGCTGACTCTACATACCTTTTTGTGGAGAACAATTTACACGTGGAGCTTCTACTGAGACCACAAGGGTGCACGTTCAAATAGTATGGAAGCATTCTTCAGGGGCTAATAAAACACCTGCCACCTCTAACAAGCTACCCACTGGAGACAGCTGCAGTAACTTCTAGGCACGTCCTGTACTCAGAGGAGATATTAATCTGCTGATGAAGTCATCTGACACTCTTGGTTTTTCTAAGGTACAACTGCACTTACCCAAGTAAAAAGGGTGAGCAATGTCTGCTGTCTCCTTCTCCAGCTGCAGAATTTCAGTTTTCATTTTCTTCTACAACAATAATAACACAGAATGAAAATGCATTTTTAACTTATCCAGATATTGTTGACTGTCTTGGGGTGGGGGAGGGAGTAGAAAGGGAGAAAGCGGGAGCATGGGGGAGAGTACACGTGTGAAAGAGTGAGCATTTGTGAGAGAGCATGTTACCATGCTCTCTGGAGTGTCTCTACTACTAGGTGGGGCTTTTTTGGTCAATAGGAAAATACTGTTGTAAAAAAACTAAACAGTGTGGTGATTTATTGGGAATTCATGCTGGAAAAGACAGATCCTGCAATTCATTCCTAAAACACAGAAACTTAGATCTCCTACAAAGCAGTTTCATAGTCTATATTCTACCAAAAAACCTCTTACAGCACCAAGTTTCCTCATTATGGCAAGACTGGTTTGTGCTTTGTTTTGTTGTTTGTTTTGTTTGTTTTTAGCTACAGGAGAGGGTCTCTCGTGAAACGCCTAGCTTTAATTCTTTCCAATAATAAACCAGCACAAGAGCAGCAGATGTCTTTCTGTGGCTGAAAGAAGTGTAGTCATTTGGCTAGACAAGAGAAGACTGAGGAAAGTACAGAAAAGGATGATGTATCTGTCTCTCAGGACACACTGAGAACTGTTGCTTTGCTTTTCTTCATTGCTGAGGAGAGGACAAAACAAACCTGCTTCATTCATAGCATACTGAATGTTAGTCAGAGAGAGTACTTTGTATGTGAAACCTTCCAGAAATGGAGGCTAAGTAGCCACCTTACTGGCAGCTGGAAACTGTTCGTTCCTTCTGTCCATCAATGCAGGATGATCCCAGCTGTTTAACTTATTCTCCAAATAAGTAAACAGTGAATTTGTCACACCGCTTTGCAGTAAGGCTTTGTAACTGCCGGTGCTCACATTGTGCAACTTAATAAACATGGCTTCTGTACCATCGAGCAAATACTCATAAAACATCATCGTAAAACACAAGCCAACAGCCAATTTGGGCAGTAGGAAGTGATGGAGGTTACCTCTTGCTAACTAACAAAATGGTCTAATTGCCCATAAAGAAACACATTTTTGTGAACTGAAGTCAACTACAAATTATTAGCTGCTCTTCAGAAAACTTCAGGTAACACTTCAGTCAAAGATGTAGGCTGCCGCATCTTGCCAGTTATACCAAAAACTTTTGTTTCATTATCTTGTTCTTTTCTTTATGACAACTCAGTCTGCTGGGGAAAAATGCCAACTGTTACACAGCTAAACTGTTTAAAAAAACACGTAAAACATGAAATAATAGGAGACGGCAATCTGATAGCTCATCGGGTGCCACGTATTATCTCTAAGTATTGAAGTGTTGAGTGTACACTGACAACAGTAAAGGTTGTACCTCATTGATTTCAGCTTGAATGTTTGCCATTTTTTCCATCTCTGAGAATTTCACAAAGCATGGGGCTTTTCTGCAGGTTAAATCCAATGTCTCCTGTGAAAGGAAAACAGGAAAAAATGCAGTCAGCAGCATCAGGCAAATTCTCAAGATCGGCTTTTAATTGGCTAAAGTTGCTGTTAATCTAGTGCACTATGCACGACAGTGAATTTCACCTGCACAACTCACAAGACACAAGCGTAATTTGGGGAAAATGCACACAAGTGAAAACAAAATTTCATTAAGAGGCAGCATGAGAGCACTCCCAGCGCTTGCATGGAGCTGGAATACACGAGAAGGCACAACCCCCCTCCTGCCTCCGCTCCAGAAAAACACCTGCCAGAACGCACAGTTATGCCCGGTGAGGAAAGCTGCCACCAGCCCAAACCGTAAGCGCTCCCTTAATAAAATCGAAAAACCTTCTCTACCTTTCAAACTGAAAGGCATTGACGCCCACAGCCCCTCCAATCCCACTTCCAGCCGCACCACAGCGCGGCTTTGCCCGCCCGAAGGCCGGAGGGAGACACCGCGCCGAGGAAGCCCCAGCGGCAGGAGGCAGGCGGGACCCCCACGCCGCAGGGACGGTTACGGGCGGAACCGGAGATCCGCAGCATCGGAGTCACGGCTTCTCCCCACCTTTACCGCAGGCAGGTTCCGTAACGACAGTGTTTTCTCCGGGGCGGCCCCCGGGCCGTTACCTGGCTGACGACGCCCGCCGCCAGGC